GTTGCATTTTTTTACAACAAGGGTCTTGTTACAGAAAATTAGATCTAGTGGCGGGATATGTTGCTGTAATTTTCGCAACAAAGATCTTGTTATAGGAAATTAGAGAAGTGGTTTTACAACATGAGTCTTGTTACAGGAAATTAGAAAAGTGGTTTTACAACATGAATCTTGTTACGGAAAATCAGAGAAGAAGACATTTTGCAATAAGAGTCTTGTTGTGGAAAATTAGAAAAGAGAAGAAACGTTACAAACTGCTCGCATCACTGAACCAGACGGCTTGCGGAGCGGCGGATCTTTTAAAAGGATCCGTCGGCCGACGCGTAGCATGGCCCTAATAAGATGCACATCTAGAGTCCAAAGATACTATCAAAAAGGTTACTTTTTTCCAGAACATACATCAGACTTGTGCTAATCTTCGTATTAAGATTGGCGAGAAGTTTGTTACTAGCCATCGGAGCAACACATGGACAAGCCCTAACTGCCCGGTCTATCTTCCTAAAAGAGCAAAATCGACTACTCCCCTACAAGCCCGCTAGTGTGTGCCCGCCTTTAGAGATGCATCTCTGCTCCATCTTTTGTCGCAATAGTCTCCAAGAGATCAGAGATCATGTCCACACCCTATTGTTTCTTTCGACCCACATAAATCGAAAACCAACCCCGCCAAGCGATGATACTTTATAACACAACAAAAGCGTGATGCCGCCGCAACATTTGTGGCCACCATTCGACAATGTCGGTCAAATGCATGGGGTTGAAACGATGGAGCCAATAGGGTATGAGGAGTGAGTACCAAACTTGGCAGGAGAGGCAGCACTCAAGCATCATGTGTTGCAGATATTCACCTCCCTTATTGTAGAGCCAGCAACATGGTGGATGTAGGAGATGGCCTTGAGCGAGATGGTTCGTCGTACAAATTCGCCCCTTGAGAATGACCCACAGGAAAACCTTGTTGTCGAGGGGGGGGGGGGGCGACGAGCTCGAAAGTTATGTGGCTCAAGGGGCAAGCTCACGCCCAAGAAGGCGTGAGATATGTTGACCGAGCCAAGTAGTGGACGTTGGCAGCTAGCCTCCATGCGAAGGTGCCCCTTCGGCTATAAGATGTTGCTGGTGCACTGCCTTCCATAGCTGAAGGTACTCGGCTATGGCCGAAATGGAAGCGTGTCTCGGATGTCGCTAATCCATGTGTCATTTGTCAAGCACGCAACCACCATCCTTCCGCGGTGCACTCCTGGTTTGACAAGACGAAGGAGGTTAGACACAATTCGCGGTGCGCTTTGCCCATTGATCCAGCAGTCACACCAGAAGCACCCTTTAGCCATTTACCAGGCTGCACGTTGTCGAGGCCAGGAAAAGGTCTTCCACCTCGGGGGAACAGTCACCTATACTTTAGCGCAAGGTTTGTTGCCATTATCCTCAGGCCATCTCCATCTTGTATGCATGGCCTTGACAAACAGAACGAGGTTGTGAGCCCCCAACCATCCAAGGATGTTGGGGGTGCACATGACATTCTACGCTACCATGCAGCACCACCCCTCCTCTTGTCGCTTCATGAAAAAAACACAGCTCAGCCTCTCCGTGCATTTGAGGAATCAGGGAGGGAGATCAAGCGCGAGCATGTGATAGAAGAAAGTGTCAGTGAGAGTGGAGTTGATTTTCACACCGGTCTCCCAAAGGTTGCATGTCTACCTTTGGAAGTGCCGCCATGGATAGAGGGAGTTATACGTCTCAAACACATTGATAATTTTAGTATAATTCATGCTATATTGCTAAAATATCATTTTAAATCTCTTTCAATTGATCACGGATATTTCATTATGAAAATATCATTTCTTTTGTATATATGTCACCTCAAGATAAAAAAAAATCGAAGCTGACAAAATTGTAGCATCAATTCTTTTTTCGTTAGTCATGTCAACTTCAAAATTATTAAATTTGGTCGCCAGCAAGATTTTATGTGGTGTCAATTCTTACGTAAGTTATGTCGGAAATCGCGGAACACGGTCTTTTTCTGAAAAAACCGCCGTCGAATGTCGTTGAGTAAGACCGGAACATATCCGGTGCCACGCGTCCCACCATTGACCTAAAAACTTGTCTTTCATGGTACATCATGCTTGGAGTCCAAAATTCAAATTAACTATGAGTGCTATTATGAATGAATTGGAATTGTCCCCCTCCCCTACCTGACACAACATACAACCTGGTGTACCGGATAACCTCTGCCCACCAGGCACTGTGATAAGAGGGTGACGCATGCAAAGGGAGACAGCCTTGGTAGCCAATCGCAACAGGCTAAACATATGTCTCTGGAGACGTTGGGCCCGCGGTGCGCTTGCGAGTGGACTGAACCTCGTCGGATCCTATATAAGGGGCCTGCACCCCGGTGTGGCCTCAGCAGAGAAGAAACAAGGGGAGCCCCTCCAACACAGCTGGAGAGAAAGAGAGAGTTTTGAGAGCGAATGGCGAGCCAAGGCGTTGCCTCCATGTTGCCTCTGGCATTGCTCCTCGGAGCCTTCGCCTCCATCCCACAAAGTGATTCCCCTTCTCTCTCTCTCTCTCTCTCTCTCTCTCTCTCTCTCTCTCTCTCTCTCTCTCTTCAATTGATTGGTTACAGAGTTTTTTTTCATGCAAGTCATGCAGGGAGTTTTTTTGGAGGTAGAAGATAGTAAGATGTACGCACGTTAATCTTTGATTCCATTAAGAGAAGCATTAGCTAGCTAGGTGAGGGGTGTGTGTGTGTGTGTGTGTGTGTGTGTTTAGTTGTATGTCGCTTTCGTTCTGCGTTCTATTCTTCCCGCGTCACCGGTCTCAATCTCTATCTTTGATGCGTCCATCAATGCATGGGAGCACAATAACTTCTCCATTTTTTTGAAAACTGAACACGGTAAATTTTGTAAAAATCACCAAAATAATTAGGAGTACGTCTTGGATTTATATAGGCATGTACCACATGCACGAAGATGAAAGTGCACGTTTGATCGACCTTCGGTGTGTTTTTTCTAGGGAAAAAAACGTTGCAAGAAGTAGGTATTCCGCATGGAAGTTAATATCTTAAAATAAAAAAATGACATTTTCTAGTCGAAAATTGAAAGAGGTATGGGTTTCCACGAGATAATAATCAATGAAAACGATACTTGTAGATAGTTTTAACTGTTTAACTACAAAAAGAAAAATCTAGTTGATTGTACATCCAAAAGCATCAAAAAGCTTGCAAATGAAGTCTCGAAATGTTTGGTGAGCCATCTTTTTACAAAGTCAGAAGGTTGAACTCCAGTGTCATGTTTCGACATAATAATCAGTGAAGCTAGTATCTCTTTCTCCAGTGTCATGTTTTTATTTTGGCGGGTGATCTCCAGTGTCATGTTAATTACCTAGAAAGTTTTTCTTCTTCCCTGCATGCAAAGTTGTGCGCGCAACGGTTTGATACACACACACTAGGCAGACAGTGTCGCCCTAGCACTGTTGACACGAGCCCTAGCTAGCGAGTACCCCAGTACTGCCACTGTTCCATTCTTTTTAGTTTAACGAAAATGATTGCACCAGCTGCCCTAGCTACTAATTGACTCATTTGCGGTCTTGTGTACTCATCGTATCTTCAAATTTCACCTGATCGATCAATGGTACATGACGCCATCAAAGCATTAGCTACTTCAGAGCTGACCCGCAAATGGCTCTGTATATGTTTGCTTTTATGTTCGGACGTGATCCCAAACATGATGCAGGAGAGAGTCATCCAATTCTTTTCATAAATTAGTCCGTATTTGTTCGTTTGGGAGGAAAAAAGAAGAGGACCATGTGGTGATTTTTATTGGTCAAGTGAATGTCCGGACACCGGTATAAGTCCATCAGTTTGTTTTGGATTTGCCGGAAAACGGACGTCCGGACCACTTCACGGATCGATGGGGTTCCACTGAATGACAAAATTTGACATAAACACTACGGACACTATAATATGGACATATACCGAAGGATTGAGAGTCTATTGTAAAGATGCCCCGACTAACTATAACCCAGGTGTCGGCTCTGCTGGCCTTTCCAAGTTTGGTCCGCCTAAAATGGCTTGAAAGGAAATAACTATGATTTATATACTTTAGTGACAAAAACAATATTTAAGTCGGGCATCAACCACTAGAGTATGTGGGTGAAAGAGATGGGGCATCCTTTTGGTTTGAAGGAATTTTATAGGATAGGATTCTTATATGAATTTTCCTTTAGAGCCCTTTGATTCATAGAAATGGATTCCTATTTCTACATAGAATTGGCTCCTATCTTTCATATTTTAAAGGAAAATAAACATGAGCCTAGAATCAATGGAAAAATTACTATGATGTGAACCAAATGACATTTTTTTCCTATTCCTACTCATACTATTTAAGATACATGTCATCTTATTTCCTATAATTTTTTTATATTCCTATAACAATTCTATCCTATGAACCAAAAAGATCTAAAAACCAGTTATGCAAACCTAGAAGCTACACGCATGCATGCATCATGCATGTATACAAGATTTCAGTTAAATGTCCTTTTCGGAGAGATCCCTCGCCAACAGGTGAAAATGCTGCTACTCCCTTGCTGTGTGTTCATGCATTGCCACCATTTTTATTTTTATTTTGCAGAAAATGCATTGCCGCCACTATATTCTTACTTAGGGCATCTAACGGCGGCTGACCCCTAAATTGTACTACCTTCGTCCTGATTTATTGTCCTCCTTCGTATTTTTTATTTAATTTTGATCTTAGATCTAACTAAACAAATTTTGATGCATGTAACCAAAGTTAATATCACTGAAAACTATGTTTAAATACGAATCCAACTATATAATATTTGGTAACACGCATTATAATTTTCTAAGTTAAATCTATTGTCAAAATTTGGCATAAAATACTAAGAAGACCAATAAACCAGAAAGGAGGTAGTACACCGTATCTATCCACATATCATTTCGGATCGATGTCCTGACACTGATAGGGAAGCCAACCATCCAATCACATACCTCAAATATGCATGTGGCTGCCTGTAATAACAGGTTATTTTCTCAGAGGTTAACAAACCAATGTTACATGCATGTACCTTACTCGCATGCAGTCGTGGAGTCCATCGGGGTGTGCTACGGCATGAGCGCCAACAACCTGCCAGCGGCGAGCACCGTCGTGGGCATGTTCAAGTCCAACGGGATCAAATCGATGCGGCTGTACGCCCCCGACAAGGCGGCGCTGCAGGCCGTCGGTGGCACGGGCATCTACGTGGTCGTCGGGGCGCCTAACGACGTGCTCTCCAACCTCGCCGCCAGCCCGGCGGCCGCCGCCTCGTGGGTCAGGAGCAACATCCAGGCGTATCCCAAGGTTTCCTTCCGGTACGTCTGCGTCGGAAACGAGGTCGCCGGCGGTGCCACCCGGAACCTCGTCCCAGCAATGAAGAACGTGCATGGCGCGCTCACTTCCGCCGGGCTGGGCCACATCAAGGTGACCACGTCGGTGTCGCAGGCCATCCTCGGCGTGTACAGCCCGCCCTCTGCCGGGTCCTTCACCGCAGAGGCGGCCGCGTTCATGGGCCCCGTGGTGCAGTTCCTTGCCCGCACCCGCGCACCGCTCATGGCCAACATCTACCCCTACCTGGCCTGGGCCTACAACCCGAGCGCCATGGACATGAGCTACGCCCTCTTCACCGCATCCGGCACCGTGGTCCAGGACGGTGGCTTCGGGTACCAGAACCTGTTCGATACCACGGTGGACGCCTTCTACACGGCCATGGCCAAGCACGGCGGCTCTAACGTGAAGCTAGTGGTGTCGGAGAGCGGGTGGCCGTCAGGCGGCGGCACCGCGGCGACTCCAGCCAACGCCAGGTTCTACAACCAGCACCTCACCAACCACGTCGGGCGCGGAACCCCACGCCACCAGGGCGCCATCGAGACCTACATCTTCGCCATGTTCAACGAGAACCAGAAGACCAGCGGCGTGGAGCAGCACTGGGGACTCTTCTACCCCAACATGCAGCACGTCTACCCCATCAACTTCTGATGGCGCTAGATATTCTTTTAACAATTGAAGTTGCTTACATACGCGAGGATGCACTCACCCAATGAACGCACGTGCGCGCACACCCTATCCCTATGAGCTAGTGTCTGTATGCCTGTACTTATAATTAAGAGCGTGTATGCCATACGTATCTGGACATTATGTATACAATTTTGCTAGAACTCATTTAGATGAGATATAATTTGGTCTCATTCATCTTTTATAGCCATTGAATGTGATGCTATAAGATGCGTGTGTGCTGATGTGGATTGTATCTGTTATTGTTTTCAAGATGAATGAGACCAAAGTATATCTCATCTAAATGAGTTCTAGGCACTCCCTTATGTATATATTGTGCAGTGCGTGGATTGGGTTGCCACCGCTGAGGCAACTCAGATGCGTACGTACGCGATACTAGTGGTTTGCTATACTAATACAAAAAGTGTATGTATGATTTACGATGGAAGGGAAGCAGATGTAAACGCTCTCGCTTCCTCGATATATTGATCATACATTTGATACGCACATGATGTGTATGTATGTAGGAACTATATTGTAGAGTTTAAAATTTCATCAAATTTTTAGGAAATTTGTCCGAAAATAATATGAAATATATCGGTGAGGACCCAAGTATTCCTATATTTTTTAAATGCTCACACTAATTCCAAGATATGTATAAGTCGGAAACACGTCCAACTTCATAATTCAAATACTAGCAAAGAAAGAATCACATGACCATGGACATGGTACTTGCGCTCGTAAACTAGCTGGGTGTAGAAGGAGTGAAGTCTGAATCAAACCTTATCTTTGTACGACCCGTCGGAATCAGACCTTGACCTTCTAATACCTGAAATCCACACCCCCAACTATGAAATCCCGGACGTCAGAGACCTTAAGCTCGTTTTAGGAGTGGGATCAGTGATATGGCACTGCGGGCGACCCAGTTTGCTAATTAATGACGCCACGCGTGTTGACCCCCTCCCTCTATGTTTTTGTCTCACTCTTTTCCCCTCTTTATCTCTCGAATCCGGCGGTGCGGCGAAGGGTTCCGGCAGCCCCCGCGGCGGCGGTTGGTAGCGGACATAGGGCGGCGATTGGCGGTGTCCCTGTAGACGCTGTTGAGTCAACCATGGTCTTCGGACGCATGCATGCTGCACCAATGGGCAGTAGCTTCCTTGGCCGTAAAGAAGTGGTACTTACCTAGCATTTTCCTAGTACGTTTCCTTAGCCGGTGTAAGAGACTTGACTGGAAGAGACTTGACCAGAAGTCTTCGTGTGGTAAGTATGTGGTAGTTTCATGGTAATAGTCACGTAATTTCTAGTGCGTGTGTGTGTTGTGCACATCCCGGGCCTATAAAAGGACCCGGCTCCTTCACTTGTAAACAAGCCAAATCAAGCAATTCATCCAGCTTCCACTAGTAGTACCACTCTGTCCCACGTGAGTGTGTGTGTGTACTAGTGCTCGTACTAGTGTTCTTCGACCAGATATCCTGCTCCTTTCTTTAGTCTGGTACTAGCTAGTATGCACTTGGGCTGACAATTGGCATCAGAGCCTCAGGTTATGCCGAAGCATATGCCGAAAGAAGGCATCACCGACGACGGTTCCCAGACCGCTGAGTAGAGATCGGCTCAGGACACCCGTGCGGCAGACGCGCTCGCGCTGCGAGGAAGGCCGGGAGGTGAGCTGGGTGCGCCACGCTCCGTGCGAGGCGTGGGCATGTCCAGTGCCTCCTTCCTCTCCTCATGCAGACCAACTACCCAAGTTGGTCCGTCCTGATGAAAGTCATCATGGAGGCGTGGCATATGTGGAAAGCCGTGGAAACCGGCGACGTCGAGTACGAGGAGGACCGGCTGGCGATGGAGGCGATCTTCCACTCCGTCCCAGTGGAGATGATGCTCACCCTTGGCGCCAAGAACACGACCAAGGAAGCATGGGACACCATCAAGACTCTGCGGATCGGCGTGGACCGCGTACGGGAGTCGAAGGCCCAGACCTTGCGCCTCCAGCACGACGAGATCCGGTTCAAGGCCGGTGAACAAGTCAACGACTTCGCCTTGCGGCTGCAAGGTCTCGTCACCGAGCTCACAACGCTCGGAGATCCCATCGACAACAAGATGGTGATTCTCAAGTTTCTCCGCGTCGTCCCTAGGCAGTACAAGCAACTGGCCTGGTCCATCGAGAGCTTGGTGGATCTCTCCACCATGACGATCGAGGAGCTGGTAGGGGGGCTCAAGGTCATCGAGGAGCGCGGCGACGAAGCTGACAACCTCGCTGGCGGTGAACTACCGCTCACCAGGGAGCAGTGGGAGGCACATCTTTAGCAGCGCGGCCGTGACGGCTCTTCCGGCAGTGGGGGAGGCGCCCCCATGGGAAGCAGAGGTCGCGACAGAGGCGGAGGCCGCACCCAGAGCAGTGGCGGCAACCGCGGTCGCAAGCCAAGCCGGGCAGGGCGAGGCGCTGGCAACGGTGGCAAGTGTCGCTACTGCGACATGCTGGGTCACTGGATCCGGGATTGCCACAGGAGGAAAGCCGACGAGGCAGCCGCGGCAACGACAAACCTCATCCGGGTTGACGTGGATGGCGGGCCAGCAATGATGCTGGCAAGAGTCGAGCCAGTGCAAGAGAGCACATCGTCTCTCGCGGCCACGACCCTGACAACCACCCATTCCGTGCAGGAGGCACAGAACCCGTCCACGGGAACCATCACTCTAGTGATAGGCCACACCTCGACAACGACGTTCTCGGGGCCTGTCGACTGGGAGGCGATGAAGGCTCGGGTGTGGGGGAGCCACACCCCGGCAATGGCGTCCCCGACAACCTCGGGACCCGACGAGGCTGCGCAAGTTGACGCGGCAATTACGCATATGGCGGACCATGCTCCGACCATGATGCTGGCGACCATCGACTCCGTGCAGAAGCGCACGGAGACTCAGGTCACCCACACCCCAACGATGAGGTGTTCAGGGTCTACTGCGTTGGCGGGAGATGGCTGCCCGACAACGGCATGTGCGTGCGGCTTCATCTTCCTCAACGAAGAGAGAGTCGTGACCACACCCATGCTTGTATAGGTGGTAAGAAAAGTGAGGGTTGATTCCTCGACACCAGCGCCACGAACCAAATGACTGGTTCGGTCGACGCGTTCGCGGAGCTGGACCGCTCAATCACCCGGAAGGTGCGGTTTGCGGACGGATGCGTGGAGGAGATCCACGGGCGTGGGATCGTCGTCTTCGTCGACAAAGGGGGTGATCACAGGGCGTTCACGGACGTCTACTTCATCCCGACACTCAAGAGCAGCGTCGTGAGTGTTGGACAGCTCGACGAGGGCTGGTTCGACATCGGCATCCGGCACGGTGTTCTCACCGTGCTCCACCAGCAAAAGAGGCTGCTCATCGAGGTAACCCGCTCGCCAAACCGCCTCTGCAAGCTCTTCTTTTGACCCGTGCATCCTGTGATCCTTGCCGTGGGCCATGTCTCTGACGCGTGGCATTGGCATGCCCGGCTAGGACACCAGCACTTCGACTGGTTGTGGAAGATGGCGCGAGGCAACCTCGTTTGTGGGTTACCTCACATCAAGCATGCCGACGAGATGTGCGATGCGTGTCTTGCCGGGAAGCAGCGGCGCCTGCCCTTTCCCGAGAAGGCACACTATCGGGCGCAGAAACCCCTGGAACTGGTTCATGGGGACATCTGCGGCCCAATCACCCCGACAATGTGAGGAGGGCGTCGCTACATCCTGCTGCTCGTGGACGACTACAACAGGTTCATTTGGATGCTGCTCCTCACCTCTAAGGACGAGGCAGAGCGAGCCATCGTCAAGCAGCAAGCGGCAGCAGAGGTCGAGTGCGGCCACAAGCTGCGTGTGCTGCGCATGGACCGTGGCGGCGAGTTCATGTCGGCCACATTCTACAAGCACTGCGCCGAGAAAGGGGTGCAGCATCACCTCACAACCCCTTACTCGCCGCAGCAGAATGGCGTCGTCGAGCGGAGGAACCAGACGGTGCTCGGGATGGCACGCTGCATGCTCAAGGAAAAGCAGGTGCCGAGCACGTATTGGGGGGAGGTCGTACTCACGACCGTCTTCATCCTCAACCGCTCCTTCACAAGGAGCATCGACGGCAAGACGCCTTACAAGCCGTGGTATGGGAGGAAGCCCGATGTACGCTTCCTCCGCACCTTTGGCTGCGACAGGCACGTCAAGACGACGCACCCTCAGCTGAAGAAGCTCGACGACAGGGGCACCTCTATGGTGTTCATGGGCTATGAGACGAGCTCTAAGGCGTACAAGGTGTACGACCCTGTCTCAAAGGGTGTGCATGTCTCGCGCGACGTCATCTTCGACAAAGATGCGCGATGGATTTGGTAGGCATCGGGGGAGGCCCCGGCAAGCAGCTCCTTCACTGTGGAGTACCCGATGCACTCTATAACCCTGGGAAGCAAGACCCCGGGCAGCCCGGGAGGTGTGGATCCGGGAACCGCAACCCCGAGAACACCGTCCCCGGGTACGGTGTCCCCGGACACCCCAACGTCAAGCAAGGTTTGTCCTGGGAGGCAGTTCGCAACCCCGCCAACGGCGAGGTCGGAGCTGTTCGACGCCGACGATAGTGTTGGTGTCCCCCACATGTTTCGGCGCATGGGGGATCTCCTCTGCGAGGCTGCGACAACACCGCAACAACCCGAGGAAGAGGACGTTGATGACGATGACGCCTTGCATCTGATGGCTGGCGAGGAGCCGACCACATTCGCGGAGGCCCAGAAAGAGGATTACTTGCGCCACGCGATGCTGGACGAGCTGGCGTCGATCAACGACAAAGCCACTTGGACACTCACCACACTGCCTGCTGGGCACCGAGCCATCGGGCTCAAGTGGGTGTTCAAGGTCAAGAAGGACGAGCACGGCGCCATTGTCAAGCACAAGGCGCGCCTCATCGCAAAGGGCTACGTGCAGCGTGAGGGAGTGGAGTTTGAGGAAGTCTTCGCTCCGGTGGCAAGGCTGGAGTCCGTG